GGGAGGGAGGAAGGAAGGAAGGAAGGAAGGAAGGAAGGAAGGAAGGAAGGAAGGAAGGAAGGAAGGAAGGAAGGAAGGAAGGAAGGAAACAAGAGCCTGGTGAGTGTGGCTCGTTGGCTGAGTGTCGTCCCATGCATCAAGGGGTCACTGGTTCGATTCCCAGTCAGGGTACATGCCCAGGTCGCAGCCTCAATCTCCAGTAAGAGGAATGCAGAAGGCAGCCAATCGATGATTTTTCTCTCTCATCAATGTTTCTGTCTCCTTCTCCCTCCCCTTCCTCTCTCTCTAAAATCAATTTTTTTTTTATATTTTTTTAAAATAGGAATAAAAAAAAAATTTTCTATCAACAATGGCTGTAATTTTAAAAACTGATGCATGGTAACTTAAGTATCCTTACCTTGTTGGGATTACCTTGATAATAAATCACATACATTAGTCTTGTTTTACTTGTTTTTTTTAATATTTAAATTATATAAAAAGAAAAGAATAATTGCCAAAAAACTCCCCCAAATTAATGGGAAAACATTAATCTCCATATCCAAGAAGCTAAACAACCTCCAAATAGGTAAAACTCAAAGAAACTTGTTATCATACATACCATAGCCAAACTATCAAATGCCAAAGCCAAAGAGAGTATCTTTATAGCAGAAAGAAAAGTGACTCATCACATACAGGAAGCTCCTTAATAAAATTAATAATCACTCATCAGAAACTATGGAGGCTATAGGCAGTTAGGTGGCATATTCAAAGTGCTGAAAGAAAAAAACCTGTCAAACAAAAATCCCACATCCAGTAAAATTATCTTTCAAACAATAAAGGCAAAATTCCAAAATTTCCAGATAAACAAATAGTAAGAGAACTAATCACCAGATCTTCCCTACAAGATACACTAAAGGGAGTCCTTCATGTTGAAATTAAAGCACACAAAATGTAACTCAAATCCACACAAAAAAAGAATATCAGTAAAAAGGTAACGACATATGTAAATAAAGCACAGCATAAACACATTTTTGTTTGTAACTCTTTTCTTATATCTGATTTAAAAGAGAAATGTCATAAAACGATAATTATAAAATTGTGTCAGTACATTTTTAATGAATAAAGATATAATTAGTATAAAAATAATAGCACAAAGGAAGTGGAAAGGGAAAAGAGCAAATTTTTGTATAGTGCTGAATGAATTCGGTATTAGCCTGAACAAGTTTATTTTAAGTTAAATTGTTAATTATAATCCCTGAGTGGAACACTAAGAAAATAACTCATAAAATACAGTAAAAGAAAAGTGGGACAGAGTGGAGAAGACAGACTGCAGAGCCATTTGGGAGGTAGAGTAAATGAGAATTTGTGTTAGATGAAAGTGAGATATTCTCCCTCAAGGAGCACGTCGTCTAGAGGAAGAATCTGAAGAGTGAACAAAAATGTATCCTGTATTGTGCCCAATGACGGAAACGGAGAACCTGGGAAGGAAAGCAGCAAAAGAGGAGGATGAGGCTAGATCATGAAAGGTAAGGATTGACCTTTTTTCCTAAGGTATTACATATTAAGGAATTTTGAGAAAAGAACTGACTGTGAGTCATCAGGGAAATGCAAATCAAAACAATACCACATCACACTCTGGAAGACAGAAGGCTATAATAAAGCAGACAAGTGTTGTCGAAGATGTGGAGAAACCAGAACCCTCATACAGTGTTGGTGGGAATACACCTTCCTTGGAAAACAATTTGGTAATTCCTCAAAATGTTAAACATGGAGTTAGCAATTCCACTCCTGGGTATGTACTCAAAGGGTAAAATGGTGCTACTTTGTAGAACTGTTTGGCAGTATCTTATAAAGTTAAACAGGCATCCATCCACCCTAGGACACATCAATTCAACTCTTATTTACTCAAGAGAAGTGAAAACTTATGGCCACATAATTGTAAAGGAATGTTCATAGCACCTTATTCATAACAGTCCAAAAATGGAAACTATTCAAATGTCAACATCAACTGGAGAAAAGATAAACAAAATGTGGTATATTTATACAACAGAATAATACTCAGCAATAGAAACAAACTGAGAGGTACAACACCATGAATGAACCTAAAAATCATTACCCTGATGGAAAAAAGACAGTTACACATACACAATAAAAATCATAATATATTATTCTCTTTATATACAGCTGAAAAACAGGCAAAACTAATCTATCATAATAGAAAACAGGGCAGTGGTTTCCAGGGCAGGGTAGCTGGCAAGGGGCACAAAAGAATACTCAGTGATGAAAATAATCTTGGTGGTTATATCGGTTTATAACATTGTCAAAACTAAACAAAATGGATACTCAGAATTATGCATTTTACTGTATGTAAACTTATCCTAATTAAAAAAGAAACAACAGCCAGGCCAGGCGTGGCTCAGGGGTTGAGCGTTGACCTAGGATCCAGGCGATCAGGGTTCGATTCCCGGTCAGGGCACATGCCTGGGTTGCGGACTCGATCCCCAGTCGGGGGAGTGCAGGAGGCAGCTGATCAATGGCTCTCTCATCATTGATGTGTTTTTGTTTTGTTTTTTGTGGTTTTTTTTAAATATATCTTTATTGATTTCAGAGAGCGGAAAGGAGAAGGAGAGAGAGAAATAGAAACGTCAATAATGAGAGAATCATTGATCGGCTGCCTAGCCCACAATCTGGGCATGTGCCCTGACCAGGAATCGAACCCCGATCGCCTGGATCCTAGGTCGATGCTCAACCGCTGAGCCATGCCCGGCCGGGCCATCATTGATGTTTCGATCTCTCTCTCCCTCTCCTTTCCTCTCTCTGAAATCAATAAAGATACATTTAAAAAAAAAAATAAAACAAAAAAATAAAAAAGAAACAACAGTATATCAAAAAATAAAAGTTTTACTGATATACTCATAGGTGAAGTGATACAATGTCTGGGATAGGTTTTAAATACTCCAGAACAAAAAAATGGGAGTCAGGTAAAAGAAGACTGGCATATGCTGATAAATGCTGAAGCTAAATGATAGGGACATCAGGTTTATATTATTCTCTTTAGTTGTGTATATGTTTAAAAATTCATGTAATGGAAAGTTAAACGTTATTCATTTGTAAATAAATAACTATTTCTTACCGTAGTTCTGTGGCACAAGTTCTGGGCTCTTAGGAGTTTTCAACTTATAGGATACATCTCCAATACTAACTGTGTCACCTAAAAAGAGAATAAAGGAGCACAAGCATTGTAAGAGACAAGTGAGAAAACCATACCCTATGCCTTTCCCAACAATGATTCTCCTGACCCACAGAAAGGGATATTACAGAAATGTACCACACATCAGTCCGTGTCAGCACAGAGACACTATGCTCTAAAACTTCTATCCAAAGTATAAGTTAGGAAAGGAGAATGAATGGAAACATCGGTGGAATTCGCATTTTAAATGCTATGTTAGCAAAAAAGGTGAAGTACAATAAAATATGCATATTAGCCAGCTTTATTTTCTCATTAATAGCAATACTAATAGAATCAACAACACAGAAGGAAGTATTTTGTTCAGGATCACCCAAAGCATCCACAGGGTGGTACTGTTAAGATGTATCCGCAACCTTTCTACATCTCTATAGGTTTCCATTTTTACGACAAGTTCTCTCGCAGAATAACCCCCAAATTCAACATTCGTGGGTACATAAAAAGAATAAAGGCCCAGTGGCATATATGCCAAGAATCCCTACATGAAGCAAACAAAACAGAGCAAAAGTTCCCAATAACTTCTACATGGTTCTAATTTTTCTAAATAACATTAATTTCTGGCTGATCTTCTAAAGTGCAGGACTAAATTAAACAATCTCTGCTTTGCTCTCCCCAACAGCAAAATAGGCATATTGACACCACCTGCACCTGGGACTTCATTTGCAGAGGGCTCAAAGACTCAGAAAAAGAAGCTGCGACACATCTTTTAACACTGTTTCGAGCTAGTGAGGTATCCTGGAGACTAAGGCCTTAAATCACAGTAATAACAACAGCCAACACTTGTTGAATGATTACTATCTTCTAAGTATATTACACACTCCCAAAATAACCCCATGAGACAGCCTTTATAAATGAAGAAATTTGTGAATCTGTGGGGAAAATGTGAATAAATAGATGAATAAATGTATTACAGATATGTGGTAAATTGAAACGTAGAAACACTGCAAAACCCAGGTTTTGCTGGGTTTTGCTGATACAGAAGACATATGTTTAGAGTTCAAAATACAAATCAAAAGAATGTCCCTCTAAACTAGTCTAGCCAGCTAACTGAGTACCTATTAAGTACTGACTATATGGCAGATGCTGTTATAGATACATTATTTACGTTATTTCATTTAATCTTGACTCTAAGTAACCATGGTTCCTGTGAGCTCCTTCATATAACTGCTATAACAGGGACACCATCTCAAAGTAGCTTAGTAAAAGGTTCTGTTACAGCAATTACATGAAATAACTCACAGAACCATGGGTCATGAAGAGAGCTAGGCTCAGAAACTAGTCCACAGAACTGTAGGGAAAGCAACAGGAAACATAGAAGTCATTCCCCAGGATAAACACACAGAGATACTGCCCCTGGCAACACTACATCCACACCATGGGACACCATGAGCAAAGGACATTTTCCCATTTTATTTAGATATTTTTCAAAACTGTAGAAAAGTTGGAAAAACACTATCTTAAGTTGCAGAAATCATGATTCTTCAACTTTAGCCTAAAGTCTTCAGATGCATCTTCTAATAGGAACACTGCCATAAGTTAACTATTCCTGCAGCCTCTGTGTAATTCCCTCATGATTCAGTCTTGGGCAGGGGCATTTAATTAATCAAACCGAGGTTATCACCCACAGCCTCGCTGCCAGGGAGCAAGCAGGTCACTGTGATTTCCAGAGTGGAGGCAGGGCCCTGTCTCCTGTCAAGACCCACCATAGGGGATCCCGCCTCTCCCCCTCCCCCTTTCCCTCTCCTCCTCAACCCTCACCTCTTGTTTTCCTCCCGCCTCACTATGACTTCTCAAGCTGTCTTTGCTTTCTCTCCCTCCTCTCAATGTCTTAACAATGGGTGCAGAGGCCCAGTTCTAGCCTCTTCTATTTTCTCTACAACCTCTCCTTGATGTGTCCACCCAGACTTATGCCTTTAAATGCAACTAGTACATATTGCTGTTCCAAATTTATGTCTAACCCAGACCGCAGAACTTCAAACATAGATACCAACAGACACTGAGATGCCTGATAGTCAACTTAAACTTAACATTCTGATCTTTCCACAAAATGTGCTCCCCCCAGTGTCCCACAGTTCTACTGATGGCAATTTTATTGTCCTAGTTGCTCAAACCAGCTATCTCGCAGCCATTTCTAACTTTTCTCTCATACCCCATCAGAAAATCCCACTGACTCTGTCCTTAGATGCGTCGAGTATCTTCCACTTTTCACCACATCCTCTACCACAACAGCGCTGACCCAAGCCAACTAGGGGTTTACCAGCTAAATCCTATCATTTAAACAGCATTATCTCTCATCTCCTAACGGATCTCCTGTTTCAACCCTTGCACTCTACAGTTTATTCTGAACAGGGCAGCCACAGTGATTACAATAAAATAGGAATCAAGTAGTGTCAGTCCTCTCCAGCTGTGCAAGGTCCTAAAGGGCTATTCTTAGGAGGCTCCCCCATTTCCTCTCTGACCTCATCTCCTCACTTACTCTATTCCGGCCAAATGGGTCTCCTCACTATTCCTTAAACATGTCAGACACATACTCATTTCAGGCTTCTGAACTGGAATTTCCTACTGACTGAAATGCTTACCCTAAACATATCCATTCACCAATAAGGGTCCCAGCAAGAAACAGACGGTACAATCAACCTGAGGAACTGAGGACAGCATAAGAAAGGAACCATGCATGAAGGCAGGCAGAGCTCAGGGAAACCAGCAGGAACGGGACTGGCAGTAACAGAAAGCCACTACCGCCCCAAGCCTGAAGGGGCGAGGGGAAAGAGCAAGCAGAGAAAGCGTATTTAGAAAGCTTCCTAAAAGGAGCTGTGACCCTTTGTGGAGGAACACAGCAAACCTATGGTGAAGACCTGGCCAAGAGGGCGCTGAGGAATAAGCATGAACCAGAAGCTGGCAGTAGAAACTGACAAATCCAAAATCATATCTGGATATTTTAATAGATTCTCTTAGTAACTGATGGAAGAGTGGGGGGGGGGG